CCCCCCGTCCCCCCACACACACACCCCCCCAAAGTCGATATAAGTTGTTAACAGACTAATTTCACGTGTTTACAGTTATAGTTTCCCAGGGCCTCAGCACGATAGAGGTTGCCAAGATCCTTGTATATTGGGTTTTATGGTGATTGATACTTCCTCTATTTTAATTTATACGGTGGATACTAGGTAGTCATCTTTTGACCGCTCATTAATATTTAGCTACTATTTCAATAACTATTTTTTTAATGCGAAAAAAGATTTGGACAAAAATACTCTAACTTAAACATAAAAGAACTCCAGCACAATGTGCTGGAGCATGAAGTTTTTACAAGTTGAACTCTGGCATAGTGATACTAGAGTTCGAAAATTCCACTATATGTAAAACTCCAGAACTGTTTCCTGAGTTCGAAATTTTTTAAAGGTAAAACTAGAATAATATGCTGGAATTCTATCATAATTAAAGGGTAAAAATAGCATGGTCTGGTCAGTTTTCGGACTGGTCATTTAAAAATAGCCAGCGTTTACCAAGTCAATGAAAAATAGCCACTATTTTGCTGCAACAGAGAGCGGTCCAGCATAATATAGTGGAGTTCGGTGCACCTGTGTATGAACTTCCAGCATATTATGCTGGAACTCCAACACACGCAAAGTTCCAGCATAATATACTGGAGATTCGAGCACTTGTGTATGAACTTCCAGCATATTATACTGGACCGGTATACTTTGCTGGAACTCCAGTATATTATGCTGGAGTTCTTGTGTACTTATGCTGGAACTCCATCATATTATGTTGGAGTTCCAGCATACTTATCCTGGAACTCCAGTATAATTTGCTGGAGTTCAAGTATACTTATGCTGGAACTCCAGCATACTTATCCTGGAACTCCAGTATAATTTGCTGGAGTTCAAGTATACTTATGCTGGAACTCCAGCATAATATACTGGCGTATTTTCTGGGTTTTGAACAGTGTTTTCGCTCAGATTTATCTTTACATGAAAAATAACAACAACAACAACATACCCAGTAAAATTCCACTAGTGGGGTCATTCGCATATCTTTACATGAAAAGTGGCTAAATTTCGATTACTTTTGAAACTGGGCTATTTTTGAACGACCACTTGTAAATCTGGCTATTTTTGAATTTCTCCCTAATTAAGGGTGGCAAAAGTGGCCCAAACCCATTTAACTCGCCCAACTCGCACAAGTTTAAATAAGTTGAGCATGAACTACATTAATGATGGGCTAAAATTAGGCACAACTCAACTAAACCCATTTATTTTCAGTAGTCCTAATTAGCACATGATTTTAGCTCAGACTGACCTATGAACAACAATTGCCTTTTAAAGCTTCTTAGGGCATATTTGGTATGAAGGAAAAATTAGTAATTTTATCACTTATTTTTCCATATTTGGTTGGTGAGTGATTTTTTTTTTCCGGAATATATTTTTTAGTATTTGGTTAGAGAGTCAAAAATATTTATAATAAAAATAATTTTCTATGCTACTCTCCTCAACTCCCCTCCACCCAAATCCTCATGTGTTCTGTGCCCCCCTACCCGTGACCTTCTTTTTTGAAATAAAAGTTCCTATAGCCGTGGGCAGAAGCATATTCTAGTATATGAGAGAGAAAATAAGTGCTATTATATTTATCTATTTGTTTCCCTTAATTTGTCTATTTATTTCCCCATTTAAATATGACACCACTTGTAAAATATTAAGCGTATGCCATTGGAATTGCAGATGAGTGCAATGATCCAAATAAGGATATGAGAATTTAACTAATAAAATGCGAAATATAAGGAATTTTGGGACAATTTTCTATTTATATATATAAAAAAAGAAATGAATTACAAAGTAAACAACTGAGTAATTAACTATGAACTAATAAGCTTCCATAGTCGACTGAAGATCTACAGAAATGAAGAAGAGAAGAATCAGAGATTGAGGGAGAGAGAAGAGGGTAGAAATCAGTGAGAGAGAGTTTGAGAAAGAGAGAAAAATGACCTAAGATTCGTTGTCTTCTCACTTCTGCTGAAGGTTAGCTATAATAACCTTCGGCTGACATGGCGAAATCCTAGCCCTCACAGATCATTTATTGAAAACTAATCCTAGTCATTAATTTGAAATTCTATTACTTCTTCACTAATTCTGTTATTCCTTCGCCTAAGCTCACCCTCCATCGAATCCAACTAACAACACTAATCCCTCTACTATCATTAGATGAGATGATGTGCCACCCTCTTACCATTGAGTATCAACATTCAATTAAAAACTTCAAAACAAGAAATTAGAGCTTTAATATCATCCATGCTGAAACAACACATTAAAATGCTCGTTAATCTCCTTGATCCTCCTAATTTCAGCCCCAATACACCATGGAGGATCCCAATCTCCATCATTGATCTTCTTCATACCCAATGAATCTATCTCCAATATGAGAGGATGTAGGTCATGAGCTACACAATAGGACAGTCCTTCTTTTATTGCCTTTGCCTCAGCCACATTGTTGGTTGTGTCCTCCAGTTGTTGTGCCTTTGCATACGCCAAATCTCATTCTCCATTCCTCACACAAAACCCAAAAGAACTAGGACTGGGATTGCCTCTTGAAGCCCCATCAGTGTTGCACTTGTACCAGCCAGTAAAAGGCAATTGCCATGTCACTCGTTTAGTAACAATCACTGGCCTATACTCATCAAAGAACCTTATTATGTCTGGCCAGAGATATGGAATATGAGTGAGCCAACTGTATCTCACCTTTTACAAGAAGTATATTGTCTTGTTGATCTCATGTATGACCCTATTGACCGAAACTGATCCTCCATTCCTATTGGTGTTTCTCATTTTCCACAACTCCCAGGTGATAATTGATGGCACTGCCTGGTATAGAGACTTAAGTTTTGGACAACATGGAGCATTCCAACATGTCCTAATAACGTGATGTAGCTGTACCAGTTTAAAAATGATCCCTGCAGCATTCATAAATGTCTTTCATACCCTTGTGGCAGTAGCACCTATCAAGAACAAGTGCACAAACGACTCCTCTTGTGTTAGCTGATAACACCAACACCTAGAGACACATATGTAACCTTGCCTTCTCCATAAATCATCAGTAACTAGTTTGCCCCTCCAAAGCCTCTAGATAAAGAAGGATATCTTAAAAGGCGACCCCTTGATCCATATGTGCTTATATTCTGGATTAGGGTTTGCCCTATGTCTCAATAGATGCCAATCACTACTCATAGTAAACTTACTAGAAGCAGTGGGTTTTCATAATAGTCTATCCCAGTAGCTAGGACTGTCTTCAAATTGCACCTTCTAAATAACATGTTCAGCTGTATCTTTAGGAAAAGTTTGCTCCAATAGCTCCTCATTCCAGCTATCTTCTTGCCTTAGTTCTGCTACTTCTTGTGGGTCCTCATTCATATGAAACTCAGGTCATACCACATGGTATAATGCCCCTAATCCTGTCTAGTTTTCATGCCATACATTTGTTGTACCACTCTTCATCTCCCACAAAATCTCATGTTCTACATCTTCCCTTGCATTCAACATCTGTCTCCACATATGAGATCCTCCCCTAAACTACATTACTGTAGGAATTTCTTTCTTGCAATACTTGTTCCACATAAATTTAGACCACAATAATTTTGTTGTTCTGAATCTCCACCAAAGTGTAGCTGTTCTGAATCTCCACCAAAGTGCAGCAAACAAAGCTTTAGAGACATAATGTAAAGATCTGAACCCTTGACCCCCTTCATGTTTAGGCAAACATAACTTCTGCCAAGAGGCCCAATCCTTGCTTCTGCCTTCCTCATTTGTGCTCCAAAAAAATCTTGCAAATATTTTGTGCAAATGTTCAATAACATTATTTAGGGGATCAAACACAGATAGCATGTATACTGGCATACTTTGTAATACACTAGAGATAAGTGTTGCCTTGCCTCCAAATGATAGTAATTTCCCCTTCCAAGAATACAGCTTGGATTTCACCTTCTTGATAAGATCATTATAGTAGTCTTTCCTTCTTCTAGTGTATAAGATAGGACATCCCAAATATGTAATAGGAAACTCTCCCTTAGCAAATCTTGTAGCCTCTCCTACTACCTGAAACAAACAATTGGTAGTCTTGGAATGCATATAGTATGAGCTCTTAGTTTTATTGATTAACTGCATAGAAATCCTCTCATAACTATTCAATACTATCATCACCTTCTTCAATGAGTCTGGATGAGCTGAAGCAAATATGATAGTGTCATCAGCATATGCCGAATGATTTAGTGGACCAGTCCACTTAGGTATACCAAAACCTCTAAAGTCCTTGTCCTCAAACAGCTTATTTAAGAATCTAGATAACACTTCTGCTGACAAAATTAATAATGCAGGAGACAAAGGGTCTCCTTGTTTCACTTATCTTTTGGATTTGAAAAAATTTGAGGCCTGACCATTCACCAAAACTGAGTGCCAGTTGTTAGATACTAAGTTCCACACCATGTTGATGAAATGCTTAGCAAACCCTATCTTCCTTAGAACATGCAGAAAGTAC